GGTTCGTTTCTGTAACCTTGCTAGTGGGGGTTAAACACTAGTAAATTTCTGTCGCCTGCCAGTGGGTTGTTATAACACTGGCCATGACTTATAGATGAGACTACTGAGCTGAGTTTTCTTCTGCATTAACGGTTTGTCAGGAAACGTTTTGTTATTGAACTGAATCTGATTTTGCATTGAGGGTTTTGTCATTGAACGTTTTGCTATTGAACCGAATTTGATTTTCGCATTAACGGTTTATCAGTGAAGGTTCTGTTACGTTTACACGGTTTATCTAGCATGCTTAAAAGTTTTACCCAAGGGCTATCCATATTTACTTACTGAGTTATCTCATAGTTTTCCTTGTCCACCATTTCAGGAAGCGAAACCGAGGACGGGGAAACCGAGGGGAGTGACGAGATAGAAGGCTAGACATCCTAATTGGATATAAGTTTTAGATTTTATTCTTGAGATTTTGTGAATTGGAAAAAAAACAAAAAGGTCCCGAGCCTTGTGCACTTGTGGGACCTGTCTCACGAGTGTACGGCGTCTACCACGTCCCCGGATTTGGGTTCTGAGGCGTGACACTTTATACTCATATCCTTGATAATAAACTCACTTTATTTAATATGTGCATCATCATCCAAAATAAACTTCCATATTCACAATTTTTAAATAAGTAGTAGCAAAACTTGAATGAATTACTCTTCAATGTGAATATGAATACCAAAAAAACCATAATTAGAAGATGAGAATTAGTAATATTTTTATAAGAGTTTGAGACACAACCATACTTAATTTAGTCCACTTTTATATTAATTAAATAAGTTCATAAAATTAAATCTTAACAAGTCAATTGTAAGAAAATTATCCCTTAACAAATATATGTAAATACTTATAATTTTTACTAATCGCTTCTACCATTTCAATTCAATGCATATAATAATTTCCCTTGGACAAAATATTACATGCACTAATATAAAAATAGCAACTTTATTTCTTATCTTTAATTATTTATTTTTGATCTTCCCAATAGATCAACTAACTTTAATGACATGGCAATTTGATAAAATTAATGGGTATATAACTTTAGGAAAATAATTTGTACACTTTTGGTTTAACACATTTTCTAACACACTTTTTGGTTCAACCACTAAAAATATAATATAAATACAATCGATTCAGTCAGTTCCTACATTCTGTGTGTATAATTGTATTTTTAAACTTGTATGCTTTGACTTTCAAACTAATAATAGTGATTTTTTATTGAGTGTGTTGTACAGTATGTTGAACTGGAGTATATACTAATCACTATTAAAACTTTATTAAATCTTACAAGTTTATATTACAAGTGAATTAATAAGAATGATTCTAAAAAAAATAACCTCTTTTGGGCAAAAAATTCTCTATGAAACAGAAATAAGAATCCTTACTAACCGCTCATACTTTTTTTTAGTTAATATACACAATCACCCCCTTTAAACAAATAATCATATTTGAAGAAGAAATATTTTAGAAGTTTTATTGAGAAACATGTGAATTTCATTAAATTACCTACTTTGATAGTATTATCCACATCAACTCGAAAGCTTTCATTGGAACATTTGCTTATAAGTAACGTAACATTTCAGAATTCTCATTGGGAAATTAACTAATCTCCTACTAGAACAAAATTTTTTGATATCTCAAAATTTTTGTGACAAAAGTCATTAATCCTAATAAATGAACCCTTAAAGTTACTCATATTAATCATAAAACCTTATTAGGCTTATCATCTATATATCTATATATAATGGTTCTATAATCTCTCTCAACCATATTTTTTATAATCTTTAATAATTTTAATATATGAATGGAGAAAATTTAAAATTTTCGAGAAGACTTCTAATACTAATTATTTCCATTAATAAGAAAAATCATATAAAATCCCTATTAATATCTTAAATGAACCATGACACATAAATACTAAAATTCTTAAAACTTTATCAATTTTTTTTTTTTTTTGAGATTTTAAAATTTCATGCATTGTCATAATTAGGTTATTACCAATATGCATAATAGACACGTATAATTATTCTTTGAAGGTAATTAATTGACAATAAAATATGTTATATCCAAAAATTTAACCTTAAATTTATATGACATGAATTATATATAAACTTTCATTCCATAAAATCCATTTAGAGATTTAGAAATTAAGTAGTTAAGCTATAGAATTCATATGCTAAAACTCACATATGAAAATAAATAATTTTATATTGAATAAAATACCAACAAGAGTAAAATTATAACTTAGTTACTTATACCATTATGGTTTATCTTGATACAACTTAACCAATAATTGAAACTAAAACTCTCAAGCATCCTTAATCCACTTTTAACTTATTGTTGTTTGAAAATTTTCTAAACTTCTATATAATTAGTAGAAAATAACAATTATACTTCTCCAAATGCAAAATTAGTTCTTATAGATAGTATTTTTACAACTATTAATATGTTCTCTATATCTAAATACAGACATTTTATATACTTATTACAAACACAATACCACAAAACCCATATGTTAAACCATATACGAAAATAAACAACTAGTCATGAGAATTAAAATTTCTTAATGATCTATTCTTTTATTCCATGACCATATATTTCCTTATTAATAATCAAGCTTAAAATTTTGCAAATGAGTACTGCAATGAGTCTTAAGAAATTTAACCTAAGAATATTACAATATGTAAATGATGGGGTATATAAACTCACATACCTCCATTTGTAATTGGCTAACTACTTTAACAAAATCTTGAAACTTTATATCCAAGATGTGTTTTAGAGCATATACATATATATATAATATACCCGATAATATTTAGAAAGTGGTTTCAAACCAAAAGATGAAAAATATGTCATATCAAATACTTATTTGTCACTAACCATGCATCTCTAATCTTTAATTAATACATATTTTATGAATTGCACTTAATATGTATTTTAATTTGGATGAAACTAATATTCATGTTTATTATGTAAATAATTATTATGAATTATAAAATCAGGCTACCTAAAATATATATATATAAGTAGGAATATATTTATATATTAATTTTACACATTATATTTATACAAAATCTCAATAATTCATCCTTTCATTTTTAATAGTTGAGATTTATTAACATTTATTAAAGATAATTATTTTCTTCATCTAAAAAGTCATAATAAATTCAACTATTGAAAGTAAATAAATAAATGATTAAAATTTTGCATAAATATAATGTATAAAATTTATATGCAAATAAATCTTTACTTTCTATATAGATTATATACATATATATAATCATTAAAAAAAACTAGGTTAAATACCCTTTTTGGTTCCTCTGCTATGAAAAAAGGCCTTTTTTAATCCCTATACTCAAAAAATCCCTCTTTTTTATCCCTAAAGTTTGAAATTTGGTCCTTTTTTGGTTCCTCTGTTAAATTTTTACAGATTTGTCACATTAATTAATGGAATCACTTGATAATTTTTTATATAAATGATATTATAAATGATGTGGAAATTACGTGAATAAAATTATAAGTTCATGAAAGCATTTTATCTAAATATTTTGAGCCACCTGTACAAATTAAGAATTTTACTTCTTAATTTATGAATTAAATGAATTTAAATAAGATTAATTTTAATCTCTTCATCTTCTTTCTCTTGATCCTTATCATCATGCACATCCTCATCCTTATCCTTGACATCATTAGGTCATCAGCATCTTGTTCGCCATCATCTTCATCATCTCCATCATCCTAGGTTCCTCGCAGAACCCAGTCACTAGGTTGCTCATGGGTTCCGCAAACCTAGGTTCTTGGTTCCTTGTAGAACCCCTTTGTTGGGTTCCTCGCAAAACCCCCTTGCTGGGTTCCTCGCAAAACCCCCTTGCTGGGTTCCTCATGGAACCGAAGAAAATAAGAAACTATCCTCAAATTTCTTGGTGTCTCATCAAAGTTGTTTTACAAATGAGATAGACCAATAATGCAGTAGAATTACCAATAATCACACACAACATCGGGTCACATTCTTAATAAAATTGAATAAAAATAACAAAAATAAGATCTAAGCATCAAAATCTAATCCAATAAAAAACAATTTGACGCCTCACTATGCCGTAAATCTATGCAAAATGACAAGAAAAGGTGCAACATTGATTTAGACAGCTCGAAACTCCTCCATTGAAGAAAACTAGTCTACGGATCAAATTCGACCAGCGAAAAAGCAACCAAGAAAAAAAAAAAAGATTCGATAGGTCAAAGTAGCAAAAATCAATGCAAACTAATATGAACAAATACTGATCAGAACAACAATGTCAATTCAAACAATTAGAAACTCCTTTGGTATCAAAAATACGATCCTCAAAAATGGAAAAAGCAATTTGATGCTTCAATGTAGCAAAAACTGGGTTCCACGAACCTAGCAAGGGGGTTCCACGAGGAACCAAGATGATGAAGAGGATGGCAAACAGGATACTGAAGATAAACAATGACATGATGATGCCAAGGATGAGGATGAGGACGATGATAAGGAAGAGAAGAAAGAAGAAGATGAAGAAATTAAAATTAATCTTGTTTAAATATATTTAATTCGTGAATTAAAAAGTAAAATTTTTAATTTGAACAAGTGACTCAAAACATTTAGATGAAATGCTTACATGCACTTATAATTTTATCCAAGTAATTTTCACATCATTTATAATATCATTTATATATAAAAAAAAAAATAAAGTGATTCCATTAATTAACATGATAGATTAGCAAAAATTTAGTGGATGGACAAAAAAAGAGATCGGATTTTAAACTTAGGGATCAAAAAAGAGAATTTTTCAGTATAATGACTAAAAAAGAACTTTTTATCATGGTAGAGGGACCGAAAAAAGTATTTAACCAAAAAACTATATTATATTAATAAGTATTCTTCACATAATATCTACTACACATTTTGTTCCATTAGAAAACAATACACAAATAAAAGAAAACCAAGTTGAAGAGAACTGGGTTCACATTAAAAAATTAAAACTCCAAACATACAATTGTTGAAATTTACTAAAGCATCAACTCATAAGATCAGGTGTCAACACCTTTACAGTGAAAATCAATTCCGCATGCAACTCGCTAATAATTAGATAAGTGTCAACACTCTTAAGACCAAGTGTCAATACCGTCAGGGGAAAAATAGGTCCGTGTCGGACTTTAAGAACATTATAAAAGGATTTTACAAGGTAAAATAACAATATTGGCTCCTCACCTTTATTATTATTATTATTATTATTATTTTAAAAACCTTTATTTAAATTAGTAAAGTCGAATAAAATAACAAGAAGTTGGGCAATTAAGAACTTGTTTGGTACAACTAATGTTTTGAAAATCGAACCGGAGATCAAATCATTTTGACCTTTGATTTTTGATTGGATCAATTTAACTGGTTAGATTGTCTAAACTGCCGAGTCAATTGAATATAAATAAATATAATATTATGTTAAAGTTTGACATAACATAAGTTGTGGTTCTACTGGTCCGTCCATGTTCCATTTAGTGGAGAAGACACAAGTTCAAGTTCTCTTGATGCTAAAAATGTAATTATTTTATTTTTA